AAGCAACTGCCATGTGATTGGTTGATTAGATAATTGCATTAATGAGAAATTGAACAGGTGTTCCTAATAATCCTTTAGGTGAGTGTATATCTCGAGGCTCCGTTATATGGAAAGAAATGGGTGAGATTAAAAACGGCATTATTTAGTTTAACTTGTACCCAATTAAGTTGGCAGCGCGCACGGTTGAGGCGGCTCCTTGTTCTCCTGAAAAATTCATTGCAATCTTTACAACAACAGTAAAGGCCTTATATTCTATTCTAAACACATTTCAAAGATTAACAGTTTTCACCCGCCTCAAGGCGGGTGATTCAAATTCTGGATGTCATTCGCTAGTGAAAATCTATACAAGTACACAAATCCATAATTTCAATTATGATTAGACCAATTTACGATCCACTAATTTTCACACTGACCTCTTGAATACCTTTGGCTACTGCCAGTTCTAGATGAGTCTGGGAGACAGTTGCCCTGGTCAGCTTCCTATCAGCACAAAACCTTTTGATATTAGCTACTGAGCTTCCTTTGTGTACGCCATTAGATCGCACAAATACAGAAATATATTGGTAACTCTTTCCTTGTTTTTTCATCTCCATAATAATGTCAAAAAATGGATCCAGAGTTGAGAAACTCATACTGACCTCCCTGTTAAATATGCCTAATTTACTATACCCAATTAAGAACTGGACATCTCCTTCCTCTTCGTTTGCCGGCGGTTGTCATCCAACTTAAAGAAGCATTAACGCCACCTTCTGTTCCGGAGTGTAGTTAGAACAGTAGAACTACTGTCCATTTCAATGCATAACCTACAGCGCCCTCCACAATTATTGGCACCCCTGGTAAAGATGTGTAAAATGCCTTAAAATAAATTAATGTTGTATTGCAGTAGCATAGTCTCACGCTAAAAAAAATTGAAAAAGCTAACCTATTTGAGTACATTTATTCACTGGAAAATAAATCCCACATTAAGAAATAATTGTTTATAACAAAATCAACAGTGCCACAATTATTGGCACCTCTAAGAAGTCCATTCATTTTATGAAAACGTTTATCCTTCTGGGTCGTGGGGGGTCCGGAGCCTATCCTGGCAGCTACGGGCACGAGGCAGGGAACAACCCAGGACAGGGGGCCAACCCATCGCAGAGCACACTCACACACCATTCACTCACACATGCACACCTATGAGCAATTTAGGAACTCCAATCAGCTTCAGCATGTCTTTGGACTGTGGGGGGAAACCAGAGTACCTGGAGGAAACCCCACGACAACATGGGGAGAACATGCAAACTCCACACACATGGTCCCAGAGGTGTGAGGCAACAGTGCTAAACACTGCCCCACCACACAGCCCCCTAAGAAGTCCTATGAAATTAATGCAACTGAAGCATTTTTGTCATTTATTCCTTACTTTCTTGTTAATCAGAATGTTTAGCAACTTTTTAGTAATCCATGATTTCCTGTTTCTCAGGGGTGTAAATACGTCATGGCCCATTTGTCTTACTCACCTCTCAAAATGGGAATGGCAAGAGAACATGCCCTTCAAGTAAGGCAGAGGTGTGTTGCTCTTCATAAGTCAGGAAATGGCTACAGGAAAATAGCTACTCGCCTAAACTTAGCCATATCTACAGTCAGAGCAATAATTAAAAAGTTTAAAACAACTGGTTGTTGGGGAGGCATGCCAGGAAATAGCCTTTACTGTCCTACAGTTACAGATATAAACGTGTGGAGTTTGCT